GCAGGGGGCTGGGCGAGCCGCAGTGTGTGTGTGTGTGTGTGTGTGGGCAGGGCGTGCATGCATGGGGGTGCTGGGAGAGGGGAGCGCATAGGGGGTGTGCAGGGGGTCCAGGTAAGCACACATATATGTGTGGGGAGAGGGGAGTATATAGGAGGGGTGTGCAAGGGGTCTGTGCACCCATGCAAGTGGGTGCTGCACCCATTGGACACATATACGGCGGGTCTGTGTATGTATAGATAACCTGTGTGTGCTGGGAGAAGGTAATGCATTGCGTGAGTGTGTGCGTTTGTGCAGCTGGTCCGTGCTTGCATGCGTATGTGTGCGCACACTGGGTGAGCTGAGCGTGCACCGCATGTGTGCGTGCAGAGTGTCCGAGCACACGTACATCTGTGCACGCGGGAGAGGTGAGCGAATTGCATGTGTGTGTGCAGGGGAGCCTGTGCACACCCACCGGGAGCGTGCCCTGTATGTGTGTGTGCGCACACTGCGTTTAAGGTGTGCATATGCCCTGGGGGAGTGGAGGACATGCATACTTTGCACAGAGCCGTTTGCATGCGCATGCATACATGCAGCCATGTGCATTGTCAGAGGGGCTGAGCGTGTGCAGTGTGTGCACGCATGTGGTGTGTACGCTGTTGGGGACAACAATAAGTGCTTATATGTGTACGCCGGGAGCTGGGTGCGTGCATTTTGTGTGCTCACCTTTAGGTGTGTGTGATCTGTGTTGGGAGAGTTGGGTGTGTGCTGTGTGCACAGGCAGGCGTGTGCACGTGCGTGTGTTTGGGGGAGGTGGGTGTGTGTACCTGCACTGTCAATCCATGGGAGGGTGCAAAGGGGCGTTTCGGGCAAGCTCCCACTGCTGAGCCCTGACCTCCATCCACAAGAGCTGGAGCGTCACCACAGTGCACCCCAAGCTGGGGCCTGAGACCTGCCCACAAGCTGAGACCACCGAGGGGTCCCCCTGAGGGGTACGTGTGTGACCCTGGTCGAAGGGGTCAGACTGCAACATGGCCTGGAGCCCCCAAACAGGCTCCCAGAGCCCCGGCCCCTGCCTAGCATGGGCAGGATGAGGCCATGCATCTCCTCTGTCACTGGAGGGACTCGGTGCTGCTGGCTTGCCCTCTGTCCCTGCTTGCAGCAGAGTAAACTGAGGCACCAAAGTACCATCAAGAACATCTCTGGATACCAGACAAGGGCGTCAGCCGGGGTGAATATACAGCACCCTGACCTGCTGCTGCACCCACAGCACCTCACTGCCCCAGGTGGCAAAGCATCCCCACTGCCCCTGCCGGCAGCATCCCCACGCTGTCCCTGCACTCCCACTCCGCCTGCCTGCCTGTCAGTTTTTTCCTGACCCCTCTTTTCTACAGAGGCAGCTTTGGCAGCAGGCAAAGGAGGCACCTGCTCTTCCCTGGGCTTTTTTGCCTGGGGCAGCTTCAGGGCTTGCACAGGTCCCTGGGGGACGAGCAGCAGCAGCATCCCGCAAACACTGGCACACAAGGGACAGTGGCTTTGGCCCCATCCCACAGGCAGGGCAGCTTGTCATCAAGACCTCATGCTGCTGCACTTGGTGGCATGGGGTGACAAGACCTTTGGGTGCCAAGGGGTGCTGGCTCTGTCCCCTCTGGGGCCACCTGCGTGCCACAAGGACCAGGGGCAGCCGCTTTTAACAGCCTGACACGAGCTGAGTCTTGCCCTTTCCTCGGAGCGTCTTGCAGAAACAGCCACTGGCCACAGCTGCAGCAGGAGCTGGCTTCGCTCTCGGGCTCCGCAGCCCAGACTGAGCCTCTGCCCCCTTCGTCACGTCCCTTTGTGGGGAAAACCTGCCGCTTCTGGGCTCTCCGGCTTCCCCACAAGCATCTGTGGAGAAACTGCCCCTCGTCCTTCCACAGCGCTGGTGACCCCTGGGGCTCCTCGAGCTCCTGGCAGCCCAGCAGCACTCAGCACTGCACAGCATCCTCACCAGAAAGGCTCTCCTGGAAAAATGAGCCCCTTTCCCCAGGAGAGCAGGGCAGCTCCCAACCCCGCAGGGCCCCCGGGCGCTGTTTATCTTTGCACAGGAGATAAAGCAGCTGTTGGCCATCCCATTTCAGGGCTGGACAGCTGTAGCTCACCCTGGCCCATCCCATCCCACTGCGGCACGGGTAGGGACCTCCCAGTGCTTGCCAGCCCCCCTGAGCATCAGTTTGTCGGCAGCTGGCTGATGATCCTGCTGAGTTGCCCCTGGGAAGATATGACCTGGCCCTATTTCAGAGGGACCCACAGGGCCAGCCACCCCCCAGGACTTGTTCCACAGGTCCCCATCACACAGGGCTCTCGCCTCCCCTCCCAGTGCCACTGCGTTGCACCCCAGGGTGCTGGCATGCTCTGCACTGGGCTGTGCCCCATCCCCTGCACACCAGGGCGAGGAGGGAGCTAGGGCTGAAGGCTGGGCTGGGTGGGATGAATCAGATGTGGTGATGGTGATGGGACTTCTCCATGGCCCAGCAGGACCCCAGGTGTTTGGGGAAGCTCCCCTCCTCCAGGGCAGAGGGGTTGGGGTGCTCAGGTCAACATGGCACCCAGGGGTGGGGGACGTGGCCAGGCTGGCTAGTGGCAGCACCGAGGTATGCATGGGGTGCAGTATGCTCCATTGCCCCGGGCACGGCCACCAAGGGACCTGGCCCGGCTGAGCCAGCACGGCTCAGTTCCTCCCCAAAACCTCCATGGTGACAGCAGTAGCCCTGGGGGTCTGCACATGTGTCATGAAGTGTGTCCGTGCTCAGGCTCTCTCCAGGGCAGCAAGCAGGGCTGTGTCCCCTCCACCCTCCTGCTTGGCCTCTTTGTACCTCTGGGGTCTGGTAACGCTCCTAGCTGGAGAGAAAGAGAAATCCCCCAGACAAACGGCTATTGACAGCTGGAGTGGAGGCGGCACAGATAGATACTGGAGGTATAGACGGGCACAGCAGACAGCGGAGCAGATTGAGAGATACTCAGAGCAGAGAGATACTGCAGGAGGAATCAGGAGATAGATCGTGCGGGCTGATCAATAACCACTGCATGCAGAGGGACAGCAAGATAGAGCGAGCTGCAGGGGGAAGGTGTTTGGTGGGCAGCGATGTGCATTTGTCCTGGCGATGGCTCTGGGGAGCTGCCATTCACAGTTGCTTCAGCTGGGGCTGGGACAGAGCCAGACCCACGGTGCAGATGCCCGTGGCTGAGTCTCCTTGCCCATGTCCGGCCACCCCACAGGGGTCTGGTGTCCTTTGAGGTGCCCTGGGGTCCCACCTGGCCTCTGGGTACCAAAGGGTGTGTATCTCCCGTATGTCCTGGTCACATCCTCCAGCCCCGCAGGGATGTCCCTGCCACCTGTGGGCATCTCGGAGGATGCTGGGCACCTGTGTGCAGGCAGCTGACCTTGAGTGCAGGCCCTGGCCTTGGCACAAGGTCTGTTCTGGAGCTGGGTGACTACGGATGAGTTCCCACCCCATGCCTCATTTTCTCCACGTGAACCAAATGTGACAAGCTGCAGGGAGCTGGGTCTGTCCAGCATGGACATGGGCATGGATGAGGAGTGGGGAGGAAGGAGAATAGGCAGCAAGAGCCTGCGGGACATGCCATGTCCAGGACCCATCCCTCATCTGCTCGTCACTGGTGACACTTACCTGCTCCCTGCTCCCTAACAGGCTGCAAACACCTGTCCCAAAGGGAAGGGCTGTTTTTTGGGACCCTTGCATGCCTGGCACTGTCCCTGCTCAGCACTGGGATGGGGACAACCTTTCCCACCACAGTAAAGCAGCCAGGGCTCCTGGGTTCCAGCCCAGCTCCATCCCAGTAGCACTTGCCCAAGCCACCCTGTGCTGCCCGGTTTCTTTGCCAGGCACATCCCAGTGTGGCTGGGGACAGTGAGGAAGGTACCCCTGGAGCAGCCCTTAGCCTGGACAGGGCTGCCGGCCCCGTGGCCAGGCTGGGGGGGATCCCCCACCCACAATGGGGTTATTGACACGGGTGCTACGGAAAACACTGCTGAGATTGTTCACACTAATGTTATTTAGCAGCAATATTTCCGTAATAAAAGAAATCAATGGGCAAGAGAAAAGACCTGTCCAGAGCTTTGATTTTCTCATTTTAATGGCATACTTATTTACTCCCACCAGCGTGCCCATTGGATTTTCATTACACGGCCTTCGCTGTAAGTGGAGCGGTATTGATACGAGCTGCTGAGTTAGCGCCTTCCTGCACGGGCCAGCACAGGACTGTTCGTGTTCTTCAACAGGCCCTCGCTAAACCCCAGGGAATGGGCACAGCATGGGGTCAGGGTGGCCTCGCAGCCCATGGGAACACACACGCACACATTCACAGCCTGCCCACATGCATATCTGCACACACACACAATCTGCCCATGGGCACACAGGTGTGCGCACACGTATAGCTGGTTGTCCTGCTGGTCTGTACACACACATGTTCACTTGGACTGTGCACACACACGCGTGCACACACTCGTCTCACCTGCACAGGCACACACACATGCACATGACTCTTCTGCCTACACAGATGTGCATACACAAATGTCCTACACATACATGCCTGAGCACTCATACGTGTGCTATTGCTCCGACTATATGGACAGATGCCCAATTGTTCTACCTGTATACACATGCACGCACATATGTGCAACCCCCACCTGTTCTGCCTACGCCCACCTGCAAACTGTTCTACCTATATGCATGCACACACCTACGCATGCCTAACTGCCCTGCCAAGCCACACACACACAAAACCATCCTGCTTGCACCTATACACACATGCATGCAACCTTTCTGCCAGCATGTGAACTCACGCACATGCACACACACAGCCTACACACCCTGTGTTTCCCTCCTGTGCCCTTCTCACACTGGAGCGTGTATGTGTGTGTGTCTGTGTAAACTTCTCAGGACTATCAGTCCACTGCACCTGGGTCTGTCTATCTGCAGGGCCACATGCCCAGCATCAGCACTGTCCCCAAAAGGATGGAGTCCTTCAGACTCTTGGGTCCCCCGTGGAAGCAGGGCCCTGGCACCAGCCCAGGCTTTTGATCCCCAGCGACTGCAGTGGAGGGAGGAGTAACAGCACCATCTCCCGCCAGTCCCCGGGAGCTGAGAAGGGCCTGATCCTGCCCAGCACTGCACACCCCGGCTCCCAGGACCCGGGGCGGGATGATGCTGGCTGCCCAGGGACACCCAAATGTCCCCAGCTGCCAGCAGGATCCCCGGTGAGCCCGGAGCTGGACGGATCCAGCACCATTCCCTGTGGCAGGGGCTCAGCACACTCCAGAGACTCTCCCGGGGACCTGAGCCGGTGGGATGAACAGTTTTATTACTGATATCTCTTTTCAAGTGGCAAGTTAAGAAGGAGCCCGTGTGTGGGGCTGCCAGTCAGCAGGATGGGGACAGTTCAGGGAACAGGAGGAGCGACATGCTACAGGCCCGGTGACCAGGGACACACACGTTAGTTTGGCAGCAGCACGGAGGTGAAAGCCCTCCACCAAGCAGCAAGCCCACACGGGTCCAGCCGCAGGGCTGCAAGCAGGGTCTGTAGCTGGGCTCAGACAGGGGACCGCAGCGCTCCCTCGGTGCCTGGGGCCCTGCGCTGGGAACTGAGCAGGGTGGCTGTCCCCAGGGGGTCTCACAGCCAGGGGAAGCGTTTCGAGGGGTGAGATCCCATCCTGAGCTAGTACAGAGGTTCGGGCACCTGCAGACACTAGGTATGTGCATAGGCCAGAGGCCACGCAGAACGGGCTCTTGGTTAAGGCGACAGATGGTGGCTCTCCCCCTTGGGGGGGACTGCAGGGAGGGGGACCGTGGGGAAAGGGACCCTCTTCCAGCCCCAGCCGTCCCCTGGGGCAGATGACACACAGGGGACCAAGAGGGACCTCCAGCCCAGAGGCTGAGTATCCCCTCACTGCTGGCAGGTCCCAGCACAGATCCTGCCCTGTGCCAGGGTGACACTGTGTGCTGCCAACCCACATCAGTGGGGACGGAGCCATGGGAGGTGCTGCCAGCTGGACACAGTGCCCTGCGCTGCCTGCAGCCCTGGCAGCCTGCCAGGGAGATGGGGAACCCCTCAGCCGACCTTTACGGTGGGTGCTCTGGCCAGGCTCACCCCATGCACCCTGCCCCGAAGGCGGCATCCTTCTTCTGATGTCTCAGGAGCTGCAGAAATTTTGTGGAGCCTGGGGATAGCCAGCTCCAGCCCCTCTCCTGTGGCATGCTGAGGGCACACAGGGGTGTTCTTACCCCGCAAGGCCACTCCAGCCCCAAAGGATGGAAAAGCAAGACATGGCTCCGATCGAAAGGGGGGAGAGGCAGGTAGTCAAGGGAACTGGCCATCTGTATTGCTGTGACCGCCACGGTCCCTTTGTCCTGGCACCCAGCTGGCCCATGGGGAAGGACAGAGCAATTTGGGGGAGGCACAGGGGGTCTCCTGCTGCCTCTGCTAGAGCCGGGGCTCGGGGAGGAGGAAAAGGGAGGAAGGCTGGGAGGAGAGGAGCCAGCCGTGCCTGGCAGGGCATCCCGGCGAGCCGGGCTCAGCAGCCCAAGGTGCTGAAGAAGGCATTGGCTTCCAGGAGCAGGCCCTTGGCGTAGACGCGCAGGGTGTAGAAGAGTGTGACAAAGTCCTGAGTGCTGAAGAGGGTGTCAGCCAGGGCAAAGGCGAGCGTGGAAGGGATGAAGCCCCGGCCGTACTCCACCATCCAGGTGCCTGCGCTCCACTGTACTGATGTGGCTTCTCCCGCCTGGTGCACGATGGTGTCCCCTGCCAACACACACAACCAGCACTGCTCCCAGTGGCTGCCCCACATTGTTCCCAAAGAGATGTGTGGGACTGGGGCTTGCAGGGCTGAGCACTCTGGTCTGTGCACCACAAACCCCCCCAGTCTTGCTCACTTTTCTCTTACTGGCACCCACTGAGATGCTGGGATATGCCCAGGGGACACAAACTGCCCCATTGTGAGCTCTTGGCTTCTGCCAGCTGGAAGGAAGAGGCTCTGCGACAGTGGAGGACCAGCCTGCAGAGCAGCCATGCCCCGGGACATGGACACAGCCTGCAGGGCACCATGGCTGCTGCGCTTACCTGGATAATAGATCTCACTTCTGGTGGTCCCCTCTTTCCACTGCCGGAAGGTCCCCGAGATGACGGTGTCGGAGATATCTGCCCAGTACCGACCTGCAGGAGGACATGCAGCACTGGCTCAGTGCATCCCTGCTGGGGATGGCTTGGGAGCCCAGGTTTGAGCCATGGAGCAGCCCCCCGGTGGGGAAGGATGCCAGCCCCAGGGCCTCAACACACTGAGGAGCGCAGTTGGGTCTGGTACCCAGGCTGCCTGTGTGACTGGCCATATCCCAGCAGCCTGGGCTACTCGGTGTCCTTAAGCCCCAACGTTTCCAGCGTGTTTGGCATTCGCTCCCTGCTGAAGCACTGGGAGATGCGATGCCTGCCACCGCCTGCCAGCTGGATGCGGAGAGTCCTGGCCACACGACATGGCATGCACAAGGACCTGCAGGTACTGCAGGACATCACGGGGGCTGGTCCCCACGCGGAGGGTGTTTTCCAGCATTGTGCACCCCGTAAAAGAAGCGGAGCAGTGGGCTCTTGCCCCAGGCACACCACGGCCAGGGCAGCCAGACCCAAACAAGTGGAGTGGAGACAGCTCAGAGAAACCCCCCGCCTGCCAGCCCTGTTCACCCTGCTTACCTGAGTGGCCCCCAGTGTCAACAGCTGTCCCAAAAAGCAGTACGTACTCGGTGAGCGAGGCATGCAGGAGGCACATAGAGCCCATCCACCCGCCTGCATTCACAAACACCCACTGCAGGTCCTCATCTGCCAGGATGTGGCCTGGGTGCTTCTTCCGTAGCTCCACAATGATCTTGGAGAAAGCCAGCTCATGGTCCAGCCCTACAGCACCCGGAGTTGCTGTGAGTCCCTGGCATTGATCAAGCCCTGCTGGCCTCTCCTGAATCCCTTCCACAGGCACAGGGTCCCAGCACATCCTTAGAGAGGTCTGCCTAGGGAAGATGTCTCCTCTCTCCAGCCTTCAGCCCCCGTGACCACTGACCCAGCCCCACTGCCTCCCCAGATGGTGATGGAGTATGCGCAGCACTGAGTGCTCCAGCCCTACAGCCCACCCCAGGTGCTGGGCTATACGGGGGACCCAAGCAAGGTGACAGTGACCCTGCTCTGGTGACATGCAGCCCCTCCACTGCAACTGCACACCCTGTGCCCTATGGGGCCAGCCCTCCCCTCCAGCCCTAGTTGGGGGGTCGGTTCTGCCCCTGACCCACCTGAGGCTTGGTCCCCCGACCTGTCTCAGCCCCAGCACCGAGAGAGCCGGCTTAATGCCGGGTTCAGCCCCAACCGGGCTGGGTGACGCTGCTGCCCCAGTCCCCATCCCTCCTTTGCTCCAATCCCATTCCCCCACTCCACTTCCCCCATGCTCCCCGTCCCTGTTTCCCGGTATTGATCCGTTCTCCATACCCCCATGCTCCCCGTCCCTGTTCCCCGGTATTGATCCGTTCCCGATACCGGTCCTGCTGCCCCAGTCCCAGCCCCCCGGCCCCTCCCTGACCCCAGTCCCGTTCCCCCC